AGCGAGTGTGATCACATTTAGGATCGATAGCCGTACTATTAAGAGGGGTAAAACTCGTATTGAAATGCGGTTATCAAAGTGCCACTAGATGCTCTAACTCATTGCATATGCATTTAGGATCTAGTGGAGTGCTAACACCCTTGAAAATGTTTGTGAAAATATGCTAACACATGTGCACAAGGAGAAACACTGGGTGGTTGGCACATTTGAGCAAGGGTTAGAAACTTCACCGACGCTCTTTACAGAAAAGACGAAGGTCACTGAAAGTGACCGGACGCTGGTCTCGGTTGGACCGGCGCGATCCGATCAGTGGCAGCAGAGGGTGCGTGTTTCGGTCTTCGACCGGACGCTGGCGCTAAAAGTGACCAGACGCTAGCAGGGTGCGTCCGGTCAGTGCTAATGTACACTGACGTGGGGCGCACGGAGAAAACATTGAGTGACCGGACGTAGGGTGTGTCCGGTCGAGCATGACCGGACACGTTCGGTCGTGAAATGTCGCATTTGGAACCTTACTAGAAATGACCGGACGCTGAGATCTAGCGTCCGGTCACTTTCTAACTGACGCGTCCGGTCATCTATTGACCGTTGAAATCGGGCGATCGGCGTTTGAAGCTGATGACACGTGGAGCACATCGCTCGACCGGACGCTGAAGTCCAGCATCCGGTCAATATCACCGGAGCGTCAGGTCGGCCCGTGTTCAGTGCAGTGAGGAGCCCAATGGCTCTATTTCATGGGGGCTTCTATTAAGCCACATGGCCGGCTCAAGGTCACCCTCTTGGCCATTTGTATTGACATAGCAACCTTGTGAGCTTAGCCAAAGCCCTCCCACTCATCTCCATCATTCATTCATCATCTTTGTGAGATTAGGGAGAGAATCCAAGTGCATTGCTTGAGTGATTGCATCTAGAGGCACTTGGTATTTGTGTTTTGCTGCGGATTTTGCTTGTTGCTCTTGGTGGTTGCCACCACCTAGATGGCTTGGTGCAGCGGTGGAGGATTGGCATGAGTTAGTGATTGTTTGTGGCCATCTTCGGTGATTGTGAGGGGATTTGTACCTTCCCCGATGGAGCGCTGAAAGGTAACTCTAGTGGATTGCTTGTGTCATTGAGTTACCTCACTTGTGGGTAGATTCTTGTGGTGTCCAATCATGTGGATGAGGTTTGTGCAACACCTCTTAGCCGCCGAACCACCAAGTGTTGGTCGACACAACGAGGACGTAGCGTGTTGGCAAGCACGTGAACCTCGGGAGAAAATCGGTTGTCTCTTGCCATTTGGCATTCTCTCGGTGATTGATTTCATCTTCATCTTGTGATTGGTTCATCCCTCTACACGGCGGTATAATCACCCTACTCACTCTTTTATATTCTTGCAAACTAGTTGTGGCAAGCTCTTTAGTGTAATTAGAATTGAGAGCTTGATTTGTTTTTTAAGTTCATCTAGTGGAGCTCTTTAGTGTAGCAAGATTGAGAGCTCTTAGTGAGTAGTATCATAGCAAGTTGTGTGTCTAGTAATCATTGCAACTAGAATTGTTGGATAGGTGGCTTGCAACCCTCGTAGAGCTAGAGCAAGTTTATGTTTCGCTATTTGTCTTACTAATCAAATTGCTCTAGTTGATTTGTAGATTTTTAAATAGGCTATTCACCCCCCTCTAGCCATATTAGGACCTTTTAGACCTGCGTGTCCGGTCAATGGCAAAAAGCTGGGTTTCGTCCCCAATGGCAACTTTCTCCATGGGACTTATAAATAGACCCCTCAACCGGCCATTTGAGGATGGAGACCTGAGGAAACATACCAAGGGTGTTGATACACCATTTTAGTAATCTCCACTTGCATAATGCTTAGTGATACATTCGGTGATTAGCGTAGGTGCTTTGCGAAGTGCTTAGGTTAGTTAGACCACCGCTTATGTGCTTGCTATAGGTTTAGGCCTAATGTTTAGTGAGGTTTGCACATCTCTTACCACTCGGTACTTGCGCGCTCCATTGTTGTACATCGGAGGGGCTTGTAGTCTTGCGAGACTACACTAACCGCGTTTATGGTGTGGCCGCCACCATGTATCGAAGGGAACAAGGCCTGTGGTGGTTTGACAGGAAGCTTGATAGTGAAGACGGCGGAGAGCGGTCTGGGAGAGGCTTGTCGAAAGGTACACCGGAGACCCACTTGCGCATGGGGAAGGCCTAGGGCTATCCACAGAGTCACCTAACCGGGAGCTTGGCCCTTGTGAGGGATTCCTTGCGAGGGTCTCCAACGAGGACTAGGGGGAAGCTTGTGCGCTTCTCGATACATCGGTAAAAATACCGGAGTCGTCGACGGGAGTTTGCATATCTCTACCTTACTCTTTAGCTTTCGCATTTACATTGCAATCTTGGTTTGTGCTTTACTTTTCTAGCTTAGTGATAGGCTAGTTGATAGGTTTGGAACCTAGGTTGCATAACTCCTTTTTCCGGTAAAGATAGCAACACACTAGCAAAACCGTAGTTGCACATTTAGATAGTATATCTTTTGCATAGGTTTTTGCTAAGGATAAAAAAAGAGGCCATAGTTTAGAGTTAGAGTTTTAAGTTGCCTAATTCATCCCCCCCTCTTAGGCGTCATGGTCCCTTACACACAGAAAAAACATGCTTATATGGAACCAAGTGTTTAAGCATAAGGTATGTAGTATTCCATCTAACATCTATATCCAAGCCAAACTTTTTAGGTTTAACACCCTGAGCAGTACAATAGTTTTCGAACATGGAAATTCTTTGATTAGAGGAATTTAAAAAGTTAATAGTAGTTCTAAAATCTTATGTGTAAGGTTTGAACCTCTTTAAACCAGATTTTATAATTAGATTAATGATATGACAAGCACAACGTTGATGCACAAGACTATACTTACGCTTAGAAGGATCTAAAGGCTCAGGTGAAGGATCAGGACCCAAATAACCAGCAAACATAGATGTCAAAGTATTCATAACCTTAGCATTAGAAGAAGCATTGTCTAAACTTACAGAAAAAACCTTGTCAATCAGACCATACTCCTCAATCACACAAGCAATTCTTTCAGCAATATTTTCACCAGAATGTTTCACCTCAATCAACCTAAGATCAATAACCTTTTTTTGTAACTCACAATCAGCACTCACATAATGAGCAACAACACTAATATAGTCCTCCTTAGCATTACTAGACCAAATGTCTGAAGTGAAAGCAATAGAGGAAGCAACAGACAACACAAAATTCTTAAGCATATTACAATGTTCAGTAAACAGCTTACTAAGATCTCTAGTGGTGGTCTATCTAGATACCTTAACAAACCTAGAGTTATAAGCACGAACAATGTACTCCTCCCAAGCCTCTGTCTCACCAATACCTAACGACAAATCAAGCCTAGCAATCAAGCGACACAACTCAGATCTAGCAACATCAGGTTTATAGTCCTAGTTATGCACAGAACCATCAGGATTATAAGCAAACCTAGACTAAACCCTAACAGCTTGATCAGTTTTTGCCTATAAAATTTTTGGTGCCTCTTCAAGTGGCCAGTGCCAGCAGAAGATCTAGCAGACAACGTATGCTTACACATTTTACAAGTAGCTTTAGTGCAAATCTGTCTACCATTTACAGTCTCATAGACCTCATCAAAATCAGCCCACACAGCAGATTTACGCTTACCAATAGAAGAGGTACCAGCAACAGATGGAGATGAGCTGTTGGAGGCGACTGGGATCCCAGTCGTCGTCGCCCCTTCATCATCGTCGCCGCCATCGCCGTCCAGATCGATCGGAGCAGAGCCGCTACCGATATCGATACCGAACAACACAACAACGTCCTCACGGGTGTCGTCATTGTCCTCTCCCACGGGGGCCAGGCCAAGACGACATCGTCTTCAGCCATGGCGCCCTCGTCGTCGTCCTCTCCAGCACCGTTCCTCAACGGTGTGCGGGGCCGTCTTGGTCTCTCTATGCCACAGCTAGAGGACGACGCATCGGCTACCGACCTGCGCAAAGAGAAGAAGGGTTAGGGTTCATACCTGCGCAATCGGAGCCCGGTGCTAGAGAAAGAGAAGACGAGGGCCACCTAGAGGAAGACGACACACCGATTAGCAATGACGGCGAGCGACATAGGAGGGACAGATGGGGATACGAACTCACATAATCACTGAGATCTATAGGAGAGAGAGGGAGAGGGAGAAGGGAGAGGCAGAGAGGGAGGGGATCAGGGTCAGGGAGGAGGAGAAGGGAGCGTCGTCGTCGGTGGCAGGCGGATCGAGGTCGGGGTCACCGGAGTCGGAGAGGACGAACGCCAGCAGAGGAGACCGCGATGCGCGAGGCGAGAGCGAGACGAGAGAGCGGCGCGGCGGGTGGGGAAACGATTTAGGGTTTTGGGGTGAGGGGAGGGAGCGTCGCGGCCTCCCGCTTATATATGAGGGGGTAGGTGGGGGCGTGGGGCCACGGTCGTGGGGAGCCATTAGGGCCAGCTGTCCGACTGGCCGACTGGGATGGGGGGATACCTGTTTCTAGTTATGTAGGGTGTGATTGGTTGTAGACCAAGCCTTGAGCCAGGATGGCCAGGCTATGCAGGACCAAAGAAGCTGGGTTGAGCTTGTGCAAGTGGTCGTGTTTGGTTGTCTTTATTGTTGGTCTAGTACGAGACGGGATTGTGTTTGGTTGCATGCATGCATCAATTTTTTTGGGTGTCTGACGCATGGGTCCCTGCATCCTGGGTGAATCAAGTCATCCTGCACCATGAGGGAAGGAGAAATCCAGAAGACGGAGGCGTGCGGGATGAAGGAGGGTAAACGAATGAAAAGATGCAGGCAAAAGGTGCGAGCAGGGCAACCAAACACGGCGTAAGTGCACGGAGGGATGCAGAATGCCCTTTGGACGCCCTGGTTTGAGCAATCAATCACACCCATAGAGTAGCACCGCGGCACCGCCCCTTCCCCAAATTCTGAATTTCAAAAAACACGGCCTCACCCGCAGAGAAGCCACCTGCACTACAGCTGCAGCCCTTTGCCATGCTCTCCTGCTATTGTCGACTCGTCGATGCCGTCGGCAACAAGGGCGGTCCGGCCAGCGCGGACGGAGGCACCCACCGCCACCACATCGCCGCCGCCGCCAGCACCACGTCCCCCGACTCCTCGTCGCCTGAGGCAGCGGAATCAGAGCTGTCGGCGTCGTCGTGGCAGCCTCTCCCACGCTCCGTCCTGCACCTCTACCATTTCGGTATGAGCTCTACCACCGGATACGCCGCCCCTTTCGTGCCGTGGGCTTCACGCGCCGGCGAGATATTCTACTCTTGGCGCAACAAGATGTCGTCTCTGCCGTGGATGCGGAGGCGCGGTCTCGTCGGCGACAGCAACGTGCCCCTTTCGCCAAAGCCATCCACTGCATCCCGTAGCGCTCCTGCTCAGAAGCCGTTCATCCCGTGGTTCCCCGGCGATCCTCGGGCGCACACACCAAGCGGCCCTCCTTCTCAGAAGTCGTTCATCAAGTGGACCCACGGTGATCCTTGGGCGCACACCCCAATGTTGCCTGCTTGGTCCTGTTTCGCTCTCGCCAACCTGCTCCTCTTGCTCCTCCTCCACCACCGCAGAGCAACCAGGACGCATCTCATCCACCTTCTCCAGCTGAGGCTAGTAAGGACTGTCAGGTACTTGATTTTGATCTGCCAATCTGTTATAAACTGTTGATCGATAACGTGATGTATGTTATACTTATCCCTGCTTTTCACGAGATAATTGGTTGGGCAAGGTAGCAATCACACGCAATTAGTAAAATCAATTCTCTAGCATAATAGCATGGGAGCTCTTTCTGTCTGATTCTGTTACTTTTGTTCGATCAAATTATAGCTCAGCAGTCAATCTTAGCGCAACCAAATCGATTGACCATTTTTAACAATAAATACTTTAATCCAATGGACATGCGTGCATTTCTAAGAGTCACATTAATTGGTGTTTGAGAATGTATTTTTAATGAACAGTGGTTTGAGAATATCAATATTCAGAGCATGTTAGCTTAGTTTTCCGCAATGTCAATTGCAGGGATTCTTGGCTCAGCTGGCATTTGCTGCTATAGTGATCATGGGTGTTAGAGATGGCCTCTATGATCTGCTGTCTGGTTGGAACAAAGGCCACGTTTAGTTGCAACAAAGCTGCTTCAAAGGTGATCTCGTAGCATTTCGTTTGTATTTGGTAATAATTGTCCAATTGTTGACTAATTAGGCTCAAAACGTTCGTCTCGCAAAATACAACCAAACTGTGCAATTAGTTTTTGATTTCGTCAACATTTAGTACTCCATGCATGTACCGCAAGTTTGATGTGACAGGAAATCTTCTTTTTGCATAGTGTCAAAATTGGAAATTTAGAAGGAACTAAACACACCCAAAGCTCTAAAGGTGATCTACGTGCTGTTGCTGATTGTGGGAGCTGGTACGTTGGCAGCAGGTCTTATGGACACTTCTCCAGTCGTATCGATCTACAGGCTACACATGTACAGTGTTGTCCACGGGCACCCGCTTTTGCACCTGTCTGGCTGCTTTCGTTCTGATCGTTGACCTCTCGCACCAGTAGAGAATAGACCTTTGATCCTCGGTTAAAATGGGTTTTAGTCCTGGCATTTTTTGTGCTCAGGACTAGAGAGACCTTTAGTCTCGGTTGGTGGATCCAATCGGGACTAAAGGTCCCTGCCCAACGGCTACTGCGCCAGATAGAGGTGGCAGGGACCTTTAGTCTCGGTTGGAGCCACCAACCAGGACTAAAGGTAGACTTTTACTCCCGGTTGGTGGCTCCAACCGGGAGTAAAGGTCTACTCCCGGGCCGTGGCTGCGCCGGGGTTGGAAAGTTACCTTTAATAGCGGTTGGAGCCACCAACCAGGACTAAAGATCCCCCTTTATATCACGGCCGTCTTCTTCTTCCTCCCTAAGCCCGAGCTCAGCACATTTTGAAGCTCACTGCACTAGTGTTCTTGCTTCCTCCCTCCATTGTTCCTCCATCCATTCTTCGATTCCTCCGTCGATTTCTTCGATTCCTCCGTCGATTCTTCAGTTGTAAAGGTTACCAATCTCATACTCTCATTTTTCATTATTGTTTTATCTCATTTTGTTCACTATATATATATATATGGTTCTTTATTATGATTTTTTTCATTTGTAAGCAATTTGAGCTCAAAATCACTTCAAGCTTGCATATTTACATGAAAGAAGGTTAAAGTAGCTAGTTGAACTTGCAGACCGTGTTCATCTCAGCGAGCATGTTCTCTGTCGAACGGTAACGGACGTCAAGGAGGAGCTTTGATTCTACGAGGGAGAGCGGCAACGGTCGTGGAAGACCGTGTTCCCTTCCTTGTAGAATCGGAGCTCTTCTGTGGCCAAGTACGGTGTCGTCCGGTGGAGAAATGCTCACCGAGAAGATCACGTAAGCAAGGTCAACTAGTACGGATGGTTATTTATTCACACATCCCGATATCGTCATAGTAGTCTGTCAATCACCGTACCCAAACGTAGTATATATATAAATATAAACGATAATCGATTGTTATGTGTGTACACTCCCATTCTTCTGTTAATTTACGGAAATATCATGTGAATTACTTACCTGCCGCAATAAAAGACGAGAACACAATGACCATGGCCACGGCCATGAAAAAATAAAACGACACAACACTAGCAACTTTCTCAAAAGCAAATGTAGTAGTGTTAAACGCCTCGAAACCTTTAAACTTCAAGCTTGCATATTTACATGAAGGAAGGTTAAAGTAGCTATTAAAAACTAGTATTCACTGCTCATTTGTAGCATGCATAGCACACTTCATTGTTTAGAGATATAGAGAATTTTAGAGTTTTTTAATTTTATTTGTTTAAAATGAGTATAGAGAGTAGATGGCAACTGCCTTAGGGTCCTCTCGGCCTCTCATGGGTTTCCAAAGCGACTTAGGCCGGGCCTCCCACTCATTGCATGCGCCAAGTGTTGTGATGAGACGAAGATTGTGATGGAGTACCGAGTGAAGAAGGAGGGTCCCAACAAGGGTCGCATTTTCTACAAGTGTCCGGATCGCAATGTGAGTTATTTTATCGTATTTAATGACTATAGTTAGTTTATACCTATTTTCATGATGGTTGTGATTAAAGTTCTACTTTTCTATTTTAATTCAAAGGGATGGCACTAGATGTTCAGCTTCTCTTTGGGAGGAAGAGTATGTTGAACTCGTGCAAAATATTTTGCACAACAAAGAGATATATGGCGGCTAATGAGGCGATGATCCAAATTAAGAAGCCCAAAGATGTTGAACAAACGGGGGATCTGTCTATTTTAGTTGGGATTGGTCGCGAAATCCTTGTGCTGCTGAAGTGCATTTTAGCTTTAGTGTTTTTATTGGTAGTTGGGATTGTCTACATTGTAGCGAGGATTTCTTAAATTTATAGCTTTTGTGGTAGTATGCATGTTGTATAATTAACTAATTATGTTCTAGGTTTTAATACGGTATTTATGTCATGTAATGCGATGAGTCGGCATTGGATGTACAATGTCGATCGTTGCTCCCAAGAGTTCATGGACGGCGCATTCTTCTTTGTTACGCGCGGCCGAGGCAAACAAACGCGATGGTTTCATGTGTTGCCCATGTGCCGTATGTAAGAATACGGTGGAATATCCTTGCTCAAGGACTCTTCATTCACACTTGTTCAAGTCGGGTTTCATGCCAAACTATATTTGTTGGACGGAAGCACGGAGAAACCAAATAATAATGGAAGAAGGTGAAGAAGAACAATGGGACGACAATGATATTATTCCCGATGGTGCGTGCTTCAATGATATTGCAATGGGAGAAGTCAAGAAGAGGTAGCCGCAGAAGATGAGTTCATCGATGATCTTTGTCAGGTCATTCGTGACTCACAAAGAGAATGTGAAAGTGAAAAGGAGAAGATCAAGTTCGAGCGGATGCTAGAAGATCACAAGAAATTGATGTACCCAACTTGTGATGCAGGGCAAAAAAAGTTAGGAACCACACTAGAATTGCTACAATGGAAGGCAAAGAATGGTGTATCTGACAAGGGATTTGGAGAGTTACTAAAAATCCAAAAGAAGATGCTTCCGAAGGACAATGAATTGCCTGCCACTACCTACGAAGCAAAACAAGTTGTCTGTCCTATGGGGCTAAAAATCGAGAAGATACATGCATGTCCTAATGACTACATCCTCTACCGTGGCAAAGAGTACGAGAAAATGGATGCATGCCCGGTATGCCATGCATCGCGATATAAGATTAGACGAGATGACCCTGGTGATGTTGAGGGCGAACGTCCGTGGAAGAAAATCCCTACCAAGGTTATATGGTATGCTCCTATAATACCACGCTTGAAACGTCTGTTCAGAAATAAAGAACATGCAAAATTGTTGCGATGACACAAAGAAGACCGTAAGGTAGACAATATGTTGAGACACCCTGTTGATGGGTCCCAGTGGAGAGCAATCGACAGAGAATTCCCGGAGTTTGCAAATGACGCAAGAAACTTAAGGTTTGCTTTAAGTACAGATGGTATCAATCCTTTTGGAGAGCGTAATGCAGTCATAGCACTTGCCCTGTTACTCTAAGTATCTACAACCTTCCTCCTTGGTTATGCATGAAGCGGAAGTTCATTATGATGTCTGTGCTCATCCAAGGCCCGAAGCAACCTGGCAATGACATCGATGTGTACCTGAGACCACTTATTGACGAACTTCTCATTTTGTGGAATAAAGAAGGTGTACGTGTGTGGGATGAGTACAAACAGGAACACTTTGATCTAGGAGCATTGTTGTTCGTAACAATCAATGATTGGCCTGCTCTAAGTAATCTTTTAGGACAGTCAAACAAGGGATATAATGCATGCACACACTGCTTCGGTGATATTAGAGGTGTATTCTTGAAAAATGTCTAAAGGTCGTGTACCTTGGCCATCGTCGATTTCTTCCTACAAATCACTCCGTAAGAAAGAAAGGCAAGCATTTTAAAGGGAAGGCAGACCACCTGACCAAGCCTCGCAACTGAACTGGTGAGGATGTACTCGATATGGTCAATGATGTGAAAGTCATCTTTGGAAAAGGACATGGCAGCCAACCTGTTCTGAACGACGCTAACGGTCACGCACCCATGTGGAAGAAGAAGTCCATATTTTGGGAGCTACCCTATTGGCAAGTCCTAGAGGTCCGCAGCTCGATCGACGTGATGCACCTGACGAAGAATCTTTGTGTGAACCTGCTTGGCTTCATGGGTGTGTATGGAAAGCCTAAGGACATATTTGAAGCACGACAGGACCTACGTTGTTTGAGAGAAAGAGACAACCTGCATCCAGAGAAGATAGATGATGGACGCCATTACTTACGTCCTACCAGCTACACTCTAAGCAAAGAGGAGAAGGAAATCATGTTTGAATGCTTAAACAACATCAAGGTACCATCTGGATTCTCCTCGAATATAAAGGGTATTATAAATGTGCCAGAGAAGAAATTCTATAACTTAAAGTCCCATGACTGTCACGTTCTCATGACGTAATTACTTCCAGTTGCATTAAGAGGAATTCTACCTCCAAATGTACGTCTAGCCACCGTGAAGCTATGTGCATTCCTCAATGCAATTTCTCAGAAGGCAATTGATCCAACTGATCTAGCTAAACTACAGAATAATATGGTTCAATGTCTCGTCAGTTTTGAGTTGGTGTTCCCTCCTTCCTTGATATCATGACACCTTCTAGTTCACCTAGTCAAGGAGATTTTCATTCTCGGTCCTGTGTTCCTACACAACATGTTCCCCTTAGAGAGATTCATGGGAGTCCTGAAGAAAAATGTTCACAACCGTGCTCGCCCAGAAGGAAGCATCGCCAAGGGCTATGGAACAGAAGAGGTCATTGAGTTCTGTGTTGACTTTATTCCTGACCTTGACTCGATTGGTGTTCCTGAATCGAGACATGAGGGGAGACTAAGCGGAAAGGGGACACTAGGGAGGAAAACATATATTGGTATGGAGGATGATTATTTCAATAAAGCGCACTACATAGTTCTATAGAACTCCTCTTTGGTAGATCCGTATATTAAGACACAC